GGTTTACCTTTATTGTAGTCAACAACTCCAGACAATCAGATAACTGTCAAAAACTAATAAAAAATATGTATAAATATGTCAAATATGTTTATGTGAGGTTTTAAAGTCATTGTGGTTTTGCATAAACACTAGTTTGGGGTCAGTAAGATGACAAAAGATTTCTATTTCTAATAAAAGCTGTTCTTTTGAAACTTTCTATTCATCAATGAATCCTGAAAAAAATGTGAAGCAGCACAACTGTTTTCAGCATTGATAATAATAAAAAATGTTTCTTGAGCAGCAAATCAGCATATTAGAATGATTTCTGAAGGATAATGTGAAACTGAAGAAGAAAGTAATGATGCTGAAAATTAAGCTTTACATTACTGGAATAAATTACACATTACAATATTTACAAATAAAAAACACTTATTTGAAATTTTTATAATATTTCACAATATTACTGTTTTTACTGTATTTTTAATCAAATAAATACAGCTTTGGTGAGCAGTAGAGAAAAATATTGAAAAATCCTACTGACCCCAAACGGTACTGTATGATATCATACGAAAAATACAATTCGTTTATGAGAAAAGCCAGAGCTGGAAATGATATCAGAAGACAAACGGAATACTGAAATTAGATTTTAAAATTAAATTTAATAGATTTTTTTAATCTATTAATCTACAAGTGTTATTAGTGATATTTAATCGTAATTTCATGTGTGTGTTTGCAGCGGATTTGCTGGCCGCAACCCCTGATCTGTCCACAGCGGCGGCGCTGTATCGCGGTCCAGTATATGCCCTCCACGACATCTCAGACAAAATCCCCATGACCAGCTCCCCTCTGCTGGAGCCGCTGCCGCTTCCCAACCTCAAGATCAAAGTCTACAACTTCTCTGGCACAGTGACCCCTCAGGAGGACGTGACCTCTGACCTCTCTGCCACCCTGTCCCCCAAAGTCACACACACTCTTCTGGAAAGCAACCCCATGACCCCACGCAACCAGACGCTGGCACGCGCACGGGACCCCACGTGTACGGCGTTAGGGTCGTTTAACACGCTGGGAGGTCATCTGATCATACCCAGCTCAGGTAAGAACA